CTCTCTCTCTCTCTCTCTCTCTCTCTCTCTCTCTCTCTCTCTCTCTCTCTCCCACTCTCTCTCTCCCTCTCCCTCCCTCCCTCCCACGCACACACCCATCCGCTTTTCTTTATCATCCATCCCCTTTTCATGTCTTTCATAGTACTTGGGCATATATAGAAACAGTCCATGGAAAGATGGGATTAAAAATTCAGTTTAAATTGAATGTCGAAAAATGAGTACATAGACAAAGTTGTCATAATTTAGAGTTTTGCAAATCTGTCAGGAAAATGAACACAGTTTTGCTTCTTTGTTTACAAACATAGAACTTCTAGCTTTTGGGGCATTGAGGAACCAGATATGGGTTTAGAATGCTGTGCTAGTCTTCTACATATATGGCCCTATTTTACTCGTGTAGACGTAGAGTATATTATAGGAGTGTGGCTGCTTGTCTTTATTAATACCTGCAACCGGAGCTCTAAGACTACTAGCAGAAGAGGACTTTCCACCCTCATCTATGGTGTAGGGGTTAGGCACTTTGTCATCACACGGAAGACCTGAGTTTTATTCCTTTTTGGGGGAAAATCTTTATAGAGTATCTTGGTCTTTCCGCTGGGATGTTATTTCCCTCTCAGTTTGGGGTGGCCCTTTATCTCTGATAAACATGTAATGCATTTACAATTGCAACCATTGGCGAGTTGTCTCAATCATATTTTTTGGTGTCACGCTTGTGTTTGACTTTAAAGGCTTATGATGGGTGATTTCAGTCTTTATCCTGCCATGGTTCCTTGTGTCACTCCTCACACTTATCTCTTCCATCACCCGGCTTTTGATCGACCTTATTTTCCTGCTTGCACTTCGCTCTTGTTCCATCATCTCTCAATGCCACAACACTGCAGCTGTTAGCTTTGTAGACCTCGAAAAACGAAACACTGGTGTCTGTGGTGTAGCAGTTAGGCGTTTCGCTGTTGCATGCAGGAGACCTGATTTGGTTCCCGAGTGGGAAGAGACTTTTTATTGAGTATGTCCGTCTTCTGCTGGGATATTGTATCCTCTCAGCCCAGGTTGGCCCTGACAGGCAGAGTCAGAAGCTGTCCTCCTAAATTATCTAAATTATATTATGGGAACGGGCGTAAAAAACACCGGCATTAAAAAAAATAATAGAGATCGTTAAAATAATCGACACCCAGCAGTATCACCTTATTTTCCCCTCTGCCAAATTGTCACTTCAGTTGGCAATCTTGATAACATTTTAAGACTGTACTGCTTTCACAACGTTCCATGCATACCGGCCCATTCAATGTACAACAGTCCTTTTAAATGCATGTTCATATGCACCCACAATCTGACAAAAGAACCCATATGGTATTCAAAAAGACAATCACTATCGCTATTATTATCATTATATCCCCCGGCTCCCAAGGACCAAACTGCAGCATTCGTTGGCTTTTAGCATTAAATATGGACGACCGTGTTAGCGCTAATAAACTGCCTACCCACCTCATGCATGTGAAGAGACGGGCATTATATAACCTCAATAATACACCTCAATGTGTGTGTGCGTGTGTGTATCTCGCCTCGGGTGATGTGTGGACGATGTACGTGCCACTACCCACCCCCTTATATCTCGGGCTGCGGAGAAATACCCTGCTCTATGTACCCAACACTTCATTCATCCTCGTATCATGCCAGCCCTTGTGTATGTGTGTCCTCCTCCCCCCGGTGTCATATAAACTCTGTACTGTACTGTACATTGTACGCTGCAGTCTTGTCTTCCGCGTGTTTGCGCTGATGTGCGTGGTTACGGTAGGGAAAGAGAACATAAATATTTTGACATGCCTGGAGACCAGATGTAAGCTAGACACAGTTGTGGGTGATTGGTGGGTGCCACTTATAGGTCCTTTACCTCTTTACTTTCCCGTGGTTGTTTTTTTTTTCCGTCTTTATTGTGTTTCCCTATAGCCTCGGTAGTTACCCCATATAAGGAAAAGAAGTTAGCTGCATTTCAGTAGTGGGGTTTACATCAGGCATATTACCTTCCCATTATAATCGTGTTTCTTCTAAGAATGCTTATAGTTATCTGTCTAACTCTGGGTAATTGGACTGTCAATTTTACATGCCTTGATGAAACAGAGTTTCAGGCGTCTCATTGGATCATTGGACAAAATCACTAACTCTTTTTGCCGCCCACAGTTGTTGGGTCAGGAATAACACTTTCTTTTCTTTTGTAAATCTCTTAAAGCATTGGCTGACTGGAATTCTCAAATTGATTCTGACCTATACCCCAAAATGGTCTAAAGTCCAGGTTTAACTCCGAAACCCAGATGGTCTACAAGTCTTGCTTACATCTGGTCTGTGCAAAATAGGGATTAGGGGGGGGGGGGGGGGGGGGAGAGGCAGAAGCAGAGAAATTAGAGCATGTAGGAATTGTGGTTGTGGACGAAGGGGGAGTGAGGTCATCTTCTCCCTGTGATGTAGTGTGTGTGTGTGTGTCAGTGAGCCTGACGGCATCGCCCCACACCCCCCACTGCGTGCATGCAGGCTTCAACTTCCCTAAGCTCCACTGGAAGCCCGGCAAGGGGCGGAGTCAGGACAGTGGAGGGGGCGTGGTCTTGCTCTCCAGCCGCAATCTGGGCTCCGGCAACAAACACTCAGCCTCTGACCCCGGCCTCGACTCCTCGGGCATTGTCCTCATCTCCAAAAAGCACATAGACACCGGGTTCAATGATGATGATGACGATGGTAAGTCTGATCGCGTGGCCGCGCCGGGAAGGAAGGAAGAAAGGCAGGAGGGATAATGTAGCAGAATATAACAAAATGAGAAGCTGAATTTGAAAAAGAAAACAGATGAGATTTTGAGAGGATGGGATTACAGGGATGGTGGTTATGATCATGAAGACTATTTGAAGTTTTGTACTAAAAATGTAAAAAAAAAAAAAAAAGAAGAAAAATTAGGAAAGTCATACCTTAACCCAAAAAAAAACCGAGGTTACTTTCTAATTCTTGAAGGGTCAAAAAGCAAAAAAACTAAAGATAGAAAATAATGATATTGATTATGGTCATTTTAATGAAATGGCAGGATCCGGAAGGGAGGCAAGGAAAAAAAGGGGAAGGATATATGATAACAAAAAGAGAAGGAGAAAAAAAGAAAAAGAAAGAAAGACAAAATAAAAAGAGAGGTAATTCTAAATGTGGCTGCTAGTTTCTAATTCTAACCCTTTGCCTCTCAGTCCTGTTCCAGAAATCACTAATATCCCAATGATTAGTGTAAGTTAATGGTGCAATAAAAGGTGGGAGGCCAATGAGATAGCTAGTCGAAAATTGTAGTTGGCACAGAAGAAATTAAATGGGATAGGAAAATGTAGTACATGTACTATTATTATACTTGACTCTTTTTTTGTTTTTTAAACTCAGCTGAGGAACATGAATAGGTAACTCCTCATGCATTAGAAATAATGTGGGTTTTTTTTTTTTTTAAAGGAAGCATTGATATGGGTAATGCCAAAGTCTGAAAGATTATAAGTTGATGGTGATATAAGAGAAGGTTTACATGGGGAATTGACCTTACCGCTAGTTGGTTTAGGTTAGAAATGACTATTGACATGACAAAGTAATCAAATACCCTAACTTTCATTACTAACAGAAGTCCTTATTTGACGTAATAATGCAGGGAAGTAGATGTAGATGTTTAATCTGTGACATAAGAGTGAGTTACTTTGAGTTATAGGCGGTTTCAATAAAAATTTGTAATTTATCAAAGTTGCGTCAAAGGTGGTTATCCGGTGACTAATTTCTAGTCTTACCAAGAGACAAGAGAATTAAAACTTAGACTTAAAGCCTGAAAGGAAGTGTAATGGATTCAAACATTTGCCCTTGAAAGATCTTGTCAAATTAGTCGGGCGGTGACTTAGTTGGAATTTTCTCTTCACAGGACGGCTGTGTTGAGGGGTTCAGATTCTAGCTGATTTTTTTCCCGACTCATGTCTGTTCTAGATAGGCAAAGACTTTACGTCTTACTGCTTGTCTTGGAAGTCCTGCTCTAAATCCATCTTCAGCTGTGTTGAGAGAGACTAAAAAAACTGACTTAATTTTGCTGAATTTGTGTAATTTGTTAATGTTGACACGTTTTTACCTCTTTTTCTGATTTTTATTCGTCACGTTTTGAGCTGTTTCACTCACTAGCTTTGAAGTTGTTCTAGATTAATGATAATTTTGTTTTGTTTAGTTTTTGCCTCTTGTTGTTTTTTTACCTCCGTTCGGTTGGATGGTTATATTTTATCGTCAATAACTACTGACCACAGCTTGCTTTGTTGCATATGTACTAACATAACTTTCTTTTTTTATGTGTAGACTCGACTTTGATTCACATTTTAAAGAATTTTTGAGAATATCGTAGAATTGTGATTTTTGTGGAATTTACGCTCTCTTGAGCATTTTGTGCATTCATATATATGTGTTTGTGTATATAAGTACTGTGTTTGTGGATTCGTACAGTGGTGCCTAGTTGCATGCTTGTGTCTGCCTGTGATGATGAAGCGGACAAATGAAAGGGGCAGAGGGTAGGAAAGGTGGGGGGGGGGGGTGGATTTCCAAAGTGATATTTTCAGTTTTTGGGAGGTCATGTGATAAATGTGAATGTGTGAAGAATGTACGTAAGAATCTGTGTGTGTGTATGTACGATTTGACAAAACAACAAGGTGTAGGGATATATGTATTACTCAATACAGCATGCCTCAGGTTGATTGTGGCTTGTTTGCCCATATATATATATATATATATATATATATATATATATATATATATATATATATATATATATATATATATATATATATATATATATACACATATATACGTTTATTCATATTTCGGAATCGGATTTGTTGAATGGGATGTGGCTAGTGGTGTGTATATCAGATATTGTGCTATTTACAAATCCTACCTACTCATATACGTAATATCAGTCATTAACTCTTGCTTTTCACTGTGGAGGTAAATGCTAACACACAGTGAGATATATAGCCCTCTCATTTCAGGTCCTTGAAGCTGGGGAGCTGTTGTGTGCTATCCTGTATATTTGACTTTCTTTTTCTTCTAATTTTTTTTTAACTTGCTTTAAACTGGACTATTATTTATAACAATACTAAAAAGGTTTTTTACTTTTTACATAAAAAAAGAAAGCTTTTTTTTTTTTTTGACCAAGAAAGCTTTTTTTTTTTTTACCAAGATGTGACATCCTGATCTTTTCTGTCTGTAATTGCAGGGTTTTTTAAGTCCTATATTCTGTCCTTGTGTAATGCTATGTGTCACGATGTGGTGGAATCAGGCGCTGGTCAATTTTAGGGCAAATAGAGTTATTGGTATCATCTTAAAGCCTTGCTTTTGATTGGAAAATTTATCTTGGGTAGAAGTCAAGATATTGGTTATTGAAAGAGGTGGGGGTTGCCTGGTTTCAGAGGTAAAATTAGCGAGAAAATGGCAGCCAAAGTTCTGCTATTTCCCTACCTTGAGAGTCCATAGAAACAAAAAAATCTACATCTATTATGCCTTTAATCCTCGTTTTTCAGTAAAATCCACACAGAAATGTGTTCTTTAATCAGCATGAAAGGTGGTAAAATAAAATTTGATAAAAATTCACCAAACTGTGGAGAAATGCCAGTTTCTTCTCTTTCATTATTTTGACAAGCACCTGATACTACCACGCTGCCTCACATATTATTCTGCTTGCTCAGGTCATTGTTAGGTGAAACATTAAGTCAGTGGAGCTTTTGCCCACAATTTTGTGTCATCAAGAGAAATTTAGTACCAAAACATTTCTTGATTGGTTGCTTTTTTTCTGTAAATTACAAAAGTAGTATGTTTCCTTGATGGGAAGGGGTGGGGATGTTGTTATGGAAGGAAGCACATATGATATTGTCCAAGACGTCCCTTTTTGTCAAAGAGAAAATCAGTTGTCGTAATCATGTCATGAATTTTTTTTTCCAAATTCAACTGAGTGTGTGTGTGTGTGTGTGGGGGGGGGGGGAATGGTCACTTGTACAGCTAACTGTCTTGGACCGGTGGCCGTTAGATCAAGCTCGACTGAGTACCAATTGTCTTCTTATCAGGGGCAATGATATGATATTCAAAGGGATCCTCAAGCAATAAGGTTTCTGATGAACTGATATGGATAGAAATGGAAATAAATCTTTTCTTCTTTATATCTACTTTCAAGAGATGTTTTCAGTTGTTTTTGTTTGCTTGTGTGTATGCATAAGATCGTGGTAGACATTTTTTTGTGAGTCTAGGTGTATGTGCAAGAGAGAAATGGGAGAAAGGAGGGTGGCCATGTTACTGTCGAAAAAGTTTTTGCCTTTGGTATAAAACAAGCAGTGGCTAACCCCACCTCACAGAAGATGAAGATGAAGCCGGTTCCCTTTTTTTATTTTTTTTATTTTTACTCATATATATGTATATATATATATATATATTGGTCTGCGTCTTTTGGGTCCTCGGAGAATAACATGACAATCCGTGGGTGTTGCTTCTATTAAAACGAAGACTATGCTTACCAGTACCTTTTCTTCTTCATTCATTCTATCACTCCCTCTGTCACTCACTCGCTCGGTCGTCCACAGCAGCCAGCGTGAACAGTGACATCACCAGCTCTATGATGGTCAGTGAGCCGGAAGAGTTGGGCACAGGCAAGTTCACGCTCAACATCTCGGGGACCCCTGCCACTGAGGTACGGCCGCATTGTTTGTGTCAGGGTCACCACTTCAGCTGTCCCTGTGTACCCTTTTTTCCCCTTTATTTTTGTGTGTGTTTTTGTTTGTATACATATTATTTTATAACACGTGTTAAGCGCATTGAGCATTCTGAAAAACGTGGATATGTTGTTGCTGTTATAATTATTATTATCAAAATATCATTGTTATTAAATTTTATCATTATTCCTCAGTTACTAATCTATAGATAAATACTTGTAAGTTTCCAGGTAGAATTCTGAATTTGCTAGCTGAATTTGGAATGAAGAGGTGTCTTTGAAATGACAATGAAATGCATTTTTGCTTTTTGTATCGTGTTATATCAGTGGGTTGTGTGAGCACAGTGTGGCCTAAGATAAAGCTGTTTCTTAGTTAGTGTTTGATAAAGTACTTCGAAGAAAGCTACATGGATTGTACACACACAATCATGCTCACAAACACACACACACACACACACACACACACACACACACACACACACACACACACGCACACACACTCACACCCACATACAAACACCCACAAAAAACGCTTACGCGCTCACAAACACCAAACACTTACACACAAACACACACTCATCCTACACACATGCCCAGACACACATGTATAACACACACAGAACAAACACCCACACACACACACACACACACAAACACACACACACACACACACACACACGCGCGCGCGCAGACACACACACAAACACACACACAAACACACACTTGTGCATGTACACACACGCTCAAACACACACAAACAAACACACAAACACACGTGTATAACTCACATATTTAACAACTTCCCTCCCCCCCAGGAGAACCCCGCCCCGAACAAGCGCAGCCTCAACCAGTTCCAGTCAGGCCCCATCACGGAGTGGAACACGGAGCACGTGTGTCACTGGCTCATGGCGCTGGAGCTGGACAAGTACACCGCCTCCTTTCTTGACAAAAACATCACGGGCACCAGTCTCCTGCAGCTAGACGGCTCCAAGCTCAAGGTAAATCCCAGGTCGCACTTATATGTGCCTGGATGCGATGGAATCAGGCGCTCGTCAATTTTTGGGCGTATGTGGTTATTGGTACGGTATCATTTTAAAGCCTGTCATTTGCCTTGCCTTTGGTGAAAAAAATATCCATCTCTGGTGAATAGAAGTTGAAATATTTTCGATTGAAGGAGGTCGGGGTTGCTTGGTTTCAGAGGTGAAATTAGCAAGAAAATGGCCTCCAAAGTTTGGTAATTTCCATAGCTTGAGAGTCCTTGAAACTGAAAATTGACATTTTTTGTGCCTTTAATCAATGTTTTTCAGTAAAGTCCACACAGAAATGTGTTTTTAAAGTGATATAAAAGGTGTTGAGCCAAAAAAATAAAATTAGACAAAATTGCCCAACAGTCAGAAAAATGCCAATTTATTTTATTTCACTATTTTAACGAGTGTCTGATTTCACCACAATGCCTCACATATGATCTTGTGCAGTTTCGAGTGCCGTAAAACTCAGACAAAACTGAAACTGAAATCCCTGAGATGAATAAATAATAATATGCAACATTATTCCTAAGGGCAGTGGTGGGCAAACTAAGGCCTGTAGGCCAAATGCAGTCCTCTGGGGCTCACCGAGACGTTCGACAATTTAAAAACAAAAAATACAAGTAAATAATTTTTCACAAAAATGGTATTTGTCAAAATACTAAAGCCAAGAATAGTTGTTTTTTTTAATTGGAAGAAAAACTAGCTGAATTTTTACAATGTTAATTATTTGACAATAATTATACAGTTGTTGTTTTTTCTTCTGAGATAATAACACAGAATATTGAGATTGACAGCTCCAGTGAAGGGATGTTTTTTTGTTTTTTTTCTCTTACAAGTAGAATATTTTCTCTGTTCATTTAAGACTTGTATTTCTCTTTTATTATCAGTTAGATGTGTAGGTGGGGGGGGGCGATATCATGGTAGATGTCTCTGTCTTTTTGTGTGTGGGGGGGGGTTCTGTCTTCCCAAAGATTTTTATTTAAAGTGATGTGAAGTTTATGAAGACTTGCTATACACGTATCATAGGAACAGGTTTACTGAACCAGAACTTCTGTTTGACTTGACAGAGGCCTGAACTGTACTTGACCAACGTTTCTATTTGACCTGACTGTAATTTTTCTCCTCAGGCCATGGGCGTGGTGAGCAGCAAAGACAGAGAGCTGCTCAAAAAGAAGATCAAAGAGATGAAAGCCAACGTGGAACGAGAGAAGAAACTACAGGAGAAAGAGCGAAAACAGAAGGAGAAAGAGCAGAAGAAAATGTCCAAGAAGAAATGAGCTGAAATTACTACTTCAGGAGCAATTGTTTAAGCCAAATTCCTAAGAGACAACTGATGGCAAAGTGCTTTACGATAAAGGCAAGTTGTGTGTTTGCCAGTGTACACGGTACTGTAAAACTTGTAGAAAGTGTACGGGCTTAGTTTGCCCCTAGACGTGGTGACTGTTTCAAAAGTGAAGGAAAATATTTGGCCTAGGACTGTGGGAGAGGTTCCAAAGGGCTCTGTGAGTGGAAGACTGGCAGCTGAGGCTTTCGCCGAGAGCCGCAGGGGACGTGTATTGTGTAAGACGTGAATGTGAGAGAGGTTTTGTATGTGCATTTAGAATACTACATGACTATAAAAAGAGCCAACCATGGGATATATAGATGATCTGTTTGTTCAGTTGACCGTGGCAGTGACTCGTGGACCGTGTCCATGGCAGCAACACATTGCCACACGGTGCTGAGCACTTGTGGAATGCGGGAACATATCAAAAGATTATCCGTAGCAACACGACAAAGTGAATCAAATGTGGCATTTTGACGTTTTCATACTGGGTGTATTTAAATAAAGATCTGTTCTATCCCTACACGTTGGTGAGGACAGTCTTAACTTAGAGAGCTGCTTTGGTTTCCAAGTTGGGGAGGGACAATACTCCCAGTTGGGAAAAAATCAAAGCTGTTCCCGTTAGCTCGGAAGAGCTGAAAGTGACGAGTGACTCGCTTTGCCGTTTTGCTACAGATATGATGGACTGGGAACAAGTCATTGGAACAAACGAGGTGACCTACAGGGAATATATAGGGCTGTTTGTTGACTTGTTCGTTTTTCTGCGTGTTGTTTTTGTAGCGATTTGTGTTTTGTAGAGTAGCAGGGAAACTGTTTCACTTATGTTTGACATAGTTTCAATTCCATTTTGAATTTTATGTTGAAAGTTGACTAAACTTGAGAGGTTTGAACTTGAGATATCTCAAGTTTGAGTTGAAAAACTTCACCATACTCGTATGTCTCAAGTCAAGTCGGAGAGAATGGACAAATGACAATTTGGTGCTGAGTAACTTGGGACAGCCTAAGTTTAGCTGAAGGAGCTTCAAGTTGTTTGTATTTTAAAGATCATAGAATTATTCAAGTTGTTTGTTTTTTAAAGATCATAAAATTATTCAAGTCTCTGTGTGAGAATAGGAAAAAAAAGCCCCCGGTTAAAATTGTGACTTAAACAAATCTTTGGTGTAGGGAGAGAGTGGGATCGTTTGGCCTGAGATGTTTCCATAAACAAAAGGCATGTAATGTAAGGGTTTGGGGTTTGTCTGGGGCATTGTCGTAAGTGTTGAGTAGCTAGACCTCCATCAATGTGAGTGACCTGTTTACTTATGTCATATTTACACTCTTCATTTGTGTGTGTGCTGAATTAGGAGGGTGAGTCACCAGTCTGTAGTGACTTCTTGTTGCTTTGTCGGTGTCGACTATTGCCAAAACATTTTGTGAAATACTTGTGTGAGATCATGCGGAGTGAATGTCAGTGCTTCCTACAGGAGATTTATACTGTGTGTGGATGTTTTGTTTCTGGCTCTGTTTGTGATTGGATGCTAGACAGCACATAGCTGTTTTACACCATTTGTATGTTGTGGAATTTTATGATTTAATGTTGTTTTAGAAGGCATAAACATGTTGGAGAGTTTGTCAAGAAGACAGGGTCACCTTGAATGGATCTCGTTTATATCATCGCTCTCAGTTAGAATTGTCTTTTAACTCCTGGTAGCTGGTCGTGTGTATCAGAAAAGTTGCTGCAACACGCATGCCTGACCCTTCCAGCTGCAGTATAGGACTTACGTAGAGCTGATTCAAATTTACTGGATTGGATCTTTGTTAACAAAGTCAAACTTACACCATACTAAAAGACTTTTGTGAGCGTTCAGAGTCACACTTTTAGCTTTTGAAAGTACCTATGGTAAGGTAAAGAAATGCTCTTCTTTTTTTCTTTATATGAATGGCACCAGCTTAGTGAAATTGTCAAAATAGAAATATACGGACTGTCCGAAATAAAACTTGGACATAGAGATAGTTTAGTTGATGTACTGGACTAAGGTGCGGATGATCCAGTTCAAACCCCTCAATGTCTCTGCCCGCTTGGCTCAGTTGTGTGGAGAGACAAGACATCTCTATGTTAAAAGGTTGGAGGTCCTGCCTTACAAGTGTTTGTGGGGGCCTTAGACCTTTGTCCTACCCAAAGAACAATGTTACATGTGTACAATCAGGCTCAAGGTATCTTGTAATGACTGACTTTGTGTTGAAAAAATTTCAGTTACTTTTTGTTCTTCACGGAAATGGTTCACGAATAGAATTCCTGAAATGCTTGCTCTGTGCTGCTCTGTTTTTGGTGTAGTGAGTGGTGATTTTCTGAAGCTTTTGTGGTTGAAGAAGATGTAGCTGACAGTTGAGAGGGCTGATATCATAATCCTCCTGTGTTGACTGCTTTGTGTTGGATTGTCTGGACCAATTCGTGTGGTTGTAGAGGGGAGGATGTCTGGTCTGTTTGATTTTATGATAACAAAAAGTTTCTGCTTTGAGATATTTGGTTGGAAATTTTATAAAATGCCAAAATGTTGTCTTTTGCTCATCAGCCTTTTCCTGTACTGCGGTACAAGATTGAGTGAAACAATATAAACTGCCTGCATGTTGCTGACTTATCCGTGTTTTTGATTGAACAGAATGTAAAACAGCCTGAATCAAAACCATTGTCATTTTCTAACCATAAACATCTTAGAAAATGGAAAGTAATTTTCCAGTTTGATATCTCAAACTTATTACTTTTGATGTTTAAAAAGATTAAATCTTTGAGAGGCATGAAAACCTTCAGATGGCATTTGGTTAATCATTACAAGGATAGCATCAGAATTCCTGTTTGTGTAAATGTGTTATTGATTGTTTTTGTTTGGAATCAGTTGATTTTCTTCTGTGTATGAGAGAGGAACAGGGTATCAGTACCTCACAGATTCGAAGCTCTGTAATTTATCATTGTCATGTTTTTATGGGGCATCTTACTTATCGTAGGACAGATATTACGTGAAAGCGTAAAGAGCTATGAAAAAAGTCGAGACATGCAGACAACTAGTTTGTGATCTGATGTTAGTAATTGTGTTTCCCGTACTCTCTGAGGCAATTTACTATTGTAGGCCCCTAATTCTTGTTGAAGAATTTCAGGATGATTGCAGTAATATTGTTTTGTTGGCCTTCATGAGTTTCCAAAATTTTCAAACCTTTTAAAGATTTTGGAATGGCTCAACACTTGCAATACAGTAGGTGGATGTGAATGTTGAAGAAAAAAAAATGACGAAGCTTGGCCACTCTGTTTTGACGGCCAAGGCTAAGAAAAAGCTGATGGTAGTTTTCTGTACATTGCGATGTAATCCCATGGCTTTTAGCATCTGTGAGTCATTTTGAGAGGGATGGGGGAGGATGTGAAAGATCAAGTGGGACGGAGAATCAACCTCTGCAAAAGATCCGAACATGAATGAAAAGTTGATGAAGAAGGATTGTAGTGGATTGAAAATGTTTTTTTTGCCTTCTGTCGGTTTTTTCTTTTTTTGTTTGTTTGGGGGGGGGGGGGGGGGTTGTTTGGTATGTTACATGCTGTCTCACTCTCCTGCTAGGTCTGAATGCTGTTTGCAAACTACAAAGTAAGCCAAGACTTGTTGGGGCATGAGAAATCCACTCAGCATTGTTGTTATCAAGTGTTGTCTCAGTTTGTGGGATACTAAGAAGTGAGAGAGGGGGGGGGAATGCATCTTTTGATAGATTACATTTATGGCTGGTCCCAGTGTTATTAGTGGTAAGTTGAGAAAAGTTTGTGAATGTAGAGAGATCACAGGAGCAAGATGGTGAAGCTTCAGGTGGACAAAAACTCTACCATTTGACACTTTGGGGTGGTCCATAAATTGGTGTAAAACATGCTTTGTGTTTTCTACTACGGTACTACATCTGCTGTGGGAACAGGAATATGTTCCTCCCAATACCATAGAGCTTATAAGGAAATAAGGATATCTTAAATATATTAATATAACCCTCATCCTAATTATGTCAACACATATTTTAGCTTTTCAGCAAAATAACTCAGTGTACACCCATTGAACTCAGCCTTTGAGAAGAAAACTGTAATGGTATTCAGAACTTGAATATAATTCATTTTGATCTGTAGTGATACCATTCATGGATGACTGAAAGTTTGTTAGGTGGGGGTGGGGGGGGGGGGGGTGGAGGGACTTCAGTTTTGTCACAATGTCTAAGTATTGTATTCAGTGCTTGTACTGTGTATGGGTGTGTGCAAGTGTTTCTCCTTTCAGACGATTTATTTGTAAGATAAGAGATGTATATGAATATCATAGATAACAAACTATAATATATCACCAGGGCACCTGTGTATGGTTGTGTGTCTGGCTTTCACCCTGTTCAACATGTAATATTATGGAATGTATTAGCAGTCGAATCAATGGGTTTTTTTTTTTTTACAACTTTGCTCTGCTGTGAATGTCCGTTTCTGAAGTCTTTGCCTCATCCCCGAAAGAATAAGTGAAGTTAAAAGAATTCTTGATGTGTTACAAGATGTGAGGTTGTTGTTTGGTACCTGTACACTCAGCGAAAGGATGAAATGTTATCATGGTCTGTTCTGAAGTGCTGAAATCTACCAGTTTTACTTTGCTTTTGGAAGTTTAAGGTGTTGAATTTTCCAAATATTCTCTTGTATAGTCTTTGTAGAATAATGAAATGGTTCAAGAAAAGCTGATCCGTAACAAATAATTTACAGGTCAGTTTGGTGTGTAACAGTTGACTAGTTCTATCCCTGTATTAAAAATAAATGTTGATTTGGTTTACCAATGATCATCCTTTTGCAGTCTGTGTCAGTGGAACGATATGAATAAAAGGAATCTTGTGTCTTTAGATTAGAAGTCTTGGGTTATGGAACAATATGAAAGGTCACGGAGAGAAAGGGTAGAAAGGGTCTATCTGTTGAAAGTTGCTCATCATAACGATCCAGGTCACACACACTGATCTTGTTTTGAAACGTTGCTGGTGAAATTGTGAAGAAATAATTTATGACTATGAAACTGTTCATTGTTATTCTTGACTACCTACCCTCTGAGAAGCATTTATGGTTGAGGCTACTTTGTGTATTTTGCTCAGAGCTGGGGAAGTTAAGTGAGGATTACATGGAATGGACGCCCATGGTTTTGTCGTCTTTGTTATTTACTAGTGATGGCAATAGAAAAACGTTTGTATAGATATGGATGTAACATTAACATAACACATTATCATTGTTTATACCAAGTTGAATAAATATTGAAAAGTATTTATGAAAAAAATGTGGTTTTTGATTCATTTTCTAGTTCAGTATGTCTGCGGGTTTGCACTACTCTTCACGGTGTCAGAAAAGACTGGCACTAAGTGTATTTCTCCTTGCTTTTTGTGCAGTGTTTGATACAGACAGCCCAGACCTTTATACAGACCACAGCTCAGGGGTGCCTTTACCCGTATCCGTACACCTGGGATCATTTTGTGCCCCAGGGGTTGTATTCTTCACATTTAAGAATACTTCTAGTGCGAAGATCTCTTTGAAACTTTCAGCATTTCTATTTTTAAAAATCATTTTGACAGACTGCTGTGCAAAGCGTATGGATCAGATCAACGAGTAACGAGTAAATTTCCTCTTTGGAAAGTGAGGGCACAGAGTTCCCCTCGTCGCATGAATATATGGTAGTAAAACTAAAACACGACGTACGGATAGAGTTAACAATTCTTTATGGATGGTTGGAGGGCGCCACTGGTAGGTCCTACAATGTACTTCTTTTCTTTCCCTCTGTTGTTTCTGTTCATCTGTCATGATTATTTCCTGCACTAGGTGACTGTTACCATACGGGTCCACTTAGACAGACGCGGCCCGATCTTTTGTCAGGAGGAAGAAAATCGGTCGCGTTGTTTCCGTGTTGTGTGTCCACCAGTTCAGACAAGACACGTATAGTCTGTTGGCCCACTGGCTGTATTATTCCACACATTGTGTCCCAAGGCTGTGCCCTTGGTGCAGGGCTATAAATAGTCACGGTCAATTAACCCAATACGGGAATAAGACATGAACGGGTTTTAAAAGGTAAATTGGCAAAATTGTTAATATGCATACCAGGTGGTTTGCGCGTAGACTTTGCTAGTTTTGAGGTGCTGATTATGAATATGACATTAGAATTTTAATCCGAACTCAAAATTAGAATTTTTTTTTGTTCCGGCGGGGCCTTTGACTCTTGAGTCATGACCGGCTAAAAATGAGCAAGCGGCTTTCCAACCGACACGTCTTTTGTCAGGGCGTGTCGTGTCGTGTCTGTAGACACAGCCAAATGGACTTTTCACTGATTTTTTTAGGAAATAAACGGTGTTCCATTTCAACTACCGACTTTCCGAGAGACGGACGGAATCGGGACGGTTGGTGTCTATCGCAGTGGACACGGTCCGTTATTGTGTCGATGTGCTCTTTACTCAAAGGCAGTTCTTTCTTTCCCGTACCTGTTAAGGTAGGCAAAAGTGATTCTCACAGTCACACAAGGCTCTCCATCTACTTGCCTAAGGGAGCAGATTTGGCCAATTAAAAAAATTACTTTGGTGTCTTTATCTTTGGAAACAAAGCCTATATCTTTCTCGGCAATCCATCTTGCATCTTTCAATACTTTCAAGACTTGATAACGTTGTTTTTTAAGTCAAGTTGTTTTTTGTTTATGGGGGGGGGGGGGGGTTCATTGCTCTTACACATATTCAAGTAAATAATTTCCTGTTGTGGAAGACAGGGCAAACAGTTTTTAGAGGATCATTGGTCTTGGTTGGAATAAACGTTGATTCAACGATACCCTGCCTTGAACACGCTGCATAGAATTTTTTTAAACTGTAAAAGGCCACAGTGCACAGAGGGTTCAAACTCAATATTAGAGTGGAGCGGAGGTATTCTAAACATACCAGACTGAGACTTTTCAGTTCTCAAATTCTAACATGAGTCAAATGTGTATGAAAAACTACAGTGGAATCCACTTCAACCGAAATCTGCGCCAGGTCCACCAGATTTTTTTTGGATCAGTTGGATTTTTGGCGTAGAGAGGTCGCTCAAATAGCAGTAGAAAATTACAGATTTTATTTTCTTTTGGTAGACTGTTGTTTCCGGATTATCCGTGTTGGGTTTAAGAAGACTCCACTGTATTTTCTAGAATTTTCAAAATTAATGAATGAAAAAATGATTCGTATCTGACACAAACAATGTCGATTATGACTGGAACTGTTTAATCAGTCATAACATTAATACAATTTCCAACCAAAGCACGAACAACATGCTAATCACAGTGCTTTCTTCAGCTCTAAATGTTACTGGAAGAAATTCAAAACGACACAAATATGAATGGTGCTATGCTCTAACCTGGTACCTGTTTTTACGCCCCCATCAACACAATTTAGAACATTTAGGGGGTAGGCTTCAACCCTGCCTGTCAGAGCCGACCCCTGCTAAGAGGGGTACATGTACTTAATGTCTGAGCAGAAAGACGGAGATGCTCAATAAAAATTCTCCCCACACAGAAGTCCAACTCAGGTCCTCTGCATGTGATGGCAAAGCACCTAACCACTCCACCTAAGATGGCAGTAATGAAATCTTTCTGTGTTGTCAAGCAATTAGAGTGTGAATCATGATAGTATCAGTCAGGCTGTCCCAAAGGAAATACCAATGTGGAAATAGTCGTCATAATAAGAACAGAAACAGCTCTTTTTCAAAATCTGTTAACGGTGCCTAAGGCAAAGCACACTTAATAATAATAGTAATAATAATAATAATAATAATAATAATAATAATAATAATAATAATAATAATAATAATAATAATAATAATAATAAACAACGTTGTTGGCAATAATAATGAACATTGTTTTTGCCAAAGTGCTAGTCTAGCATCTGAGTTTGTTGCCATTTTTTTCTCCAAAAGTTGCTACAAAAAAAGGCAAAAGTTGCCTTAAAAGTTGCCATTAATTTTCAAGCTTTAAACTTTTTGTGACGATGTAGATTCTGTAGCAATATATTGATAGAGGTGACTTATCTAAAGCACTAGAATTTCTTGTACTCTGTTTTAAGCATCCAGAATATCATTTGTAGCCACACAGAGTGTAAAAACCTGAAAAATAGAAGTTTCACAACAGAATGAAATCAATATTAGAACAGCACATAAACAGCCAAAAAAATATTTAAAATAAGGGCATGAGTCCACCTATTTGAAAACTGGCCGTTTTAACCTAAAACGTGTGTAATTCAAGAAAAAGTACAGGATATTACATGCAAATTATGGAATCACACACAAGGGGCCTGCAGGTGTCAGTATTTGGTTTTGGTGGAGACACGCTCTCATATAACACATTTTTTTAAAAGAGTAGGAACAGCATCAAATTAAATGACATAACACTATTTTAACACATCAGAACAATAACACGAGGACAAAAATTAACACACCAACAAGTAAAAACACAACAAAGAGGGAAAAGTAAAAGAGAAACAGCAATATTTAAATAGTAAGTAAAGTATATTCTTCACATGAAAATGGCAAATCAACGTGGTGTCAACAAGTGAGAAAGAGACGAAGTGAAGTAAAAGTGAAAATAAACTCTTTCCAAAAAGTAGAGAGGTTCGGATTTTTATTTTATTTTTCGATATTTATTCCCCTGAAGTTTTTTTTTCGATTTAATATTCTCCAGAGGTGTTTTTTTTTTTTATTTGGTTCGTTTTTTGTGTGAAAAATGCAAAAAATCGCGCCGCGATTTGTGGACCAAAAAATGCACCAAATCGCTGACAAACGCAGATGCTAGACTAGTAGCACCACCGAATGTATGCATCTGTGATGCTATATTAAACATTGCAATCCTTGTAGAGTAATGGCCAACGGTAAAAGTGCCGGGAGTCAGACTATTTAAACAAGCAAAAGGAAAAAATTCCCGAAAATTCTTTAACAAATGTAGTTGTTTGAGACAAAATCGATATGAATAAAACTCAGGAATGTTACTGGTTTAAAGTCGGACAGAAATATCGGGAGGACAAGACAAAAGTGTCATAGCGCGGTGGAATCAAGTGTTCGTGAATTTTGGGGCATATGGAGTTATTGGTATCACCTTAAATCTAGTTAGTTTATCTAGATTTTGATTTTATAAATATTCATCTATCTTACATAGAAGTCGAGTTATTTGCAAATGAAGGAGGTGGGTTTCAGAAGCAAACTTTGCGAGAAAATGGCCAACAAAGTTTGGCGGCTTCTGTAGCTTGAGAATCCTTGGACAGTACAAATTCACCTTTTTTGTGCCTTTAATTACCGTTTTTCAGTAAGATTCACACACAAATTTGTTTTTGACATGGGCATAAAATATGTTGAGCCAAAAAACAAAAACAAAACTTGACAAAAATAGTCAAACTGGCGGTAAAATAACGGTATCCTCAATTTCATTATTTTGACAGGCGCCTGATTTGACCACGATGCCTTACATATTATTATACAGGGTGCCTGCAATCTGTAATCTGCAATCTGTAATCTTCCAAGTCAGAAGCCAATGCTCAGCAAGCTGATGTTGATTATTGTCAATCAGCTGTTCAGATGCACTAATTAACCCTAACTTTCGAAAAGAAAAATGTATTGCATTTTCTAAATTTGTGGTATCCTTGCGTGTGCTTTAGAAATACTCTGTCGAAATTCAAATTCTTAATGTTGAAAAAAAGCAACAACAAAAAAGATACATAATGTAAGTATAATTAAAAGAATGAAACAGGTTCTTTTTAGATGTCGCTTTCTGAGCTAAGGACATTTGAACAGCTTGTCAGGTTTATTTATGAAGATCGTAGGTTGACAGATGTCACGGTTCTTGACTTTCCTAAATCAGTTACAATTGCAGAAAATAAGCGTTACTGCTCCAAAATGGAAAAAAAGGTTAACCAAGAACAATCCAACAAAACTAAAAGAAACTCTCCCGATGAAAGAAAAAACACTGAGTTTGAATCAAAATGTAACAGTAACAGTAACATTTAAACCAAACTTTCATTCGGCAATACAGTCTGACACGAGTCGAAACAGCTCAAAGGGAAACAGCTGTCAAAGTGTCATTTGTATTTTCTTCGTCATTCGCATTTTCTTTTTCATCAGGTTTTTTTTGGGTCTTCACTTTCGTCTTCATCATCTGTTCTTTCTAGGCTACCTGTCTTTTCTTCTGCATCTATACTTTCATGGTAAACACTCATAGTTCTTCCTCTGTCATCTATTTTTTCTCGTTTGTCTGTTCTTTCTTCGTCATGTATTTGTTCATGTTGGTTTGTTTCTTCTCGCCTGTCTGTCTTTTCTTCCTCAGCTCCCTTTCCTTGAGTATCTGTCTTTTCCTCCTCTCTGACCTCATCATGACCGCTAGAATCGGTGTCTTTAGCCTCCTGCTCCTTTCCAAGTTTGTCCAGGTCCCCCGAGTCCGAGTCAGAGGGTAGGATGAAAACGATGGTGCCACGGTTTTGGCTATGAGCAGAACTGAAAAAAACAAAAGATCCTGATCAAAATTTTGTTTTCTCATGATATCTTAGCATATTCGTAATAATTACAACAACAATAATAACAGCAACAACAATAATAATAATAATAATAATAATAATAATAATAATAATAATAATAATAATAATAATAATTTAGAACTGTGCAGAATAGGACAAAAGTCAACATATCTTAGTGTTGATTCCATAAAAACTCTCATCTTTTCTTTAGTCCTTTCATGTCTGCAATTCTTTGTTTGGAAACCTTCCCACTGAAACGTTAAATAGATTACAGCGACTCCAGAACCAAGCTGCTGGCATAATTTTAAAGAAATCTTTCAAAGAGCATAACACCAATGCTAATTCAACTACATTGGCTCCCGGTGAAAGCACGAATTCAGTACAAAATAGTCGTTCTTTGTTTTAAGTGCGTCAACAACATTGCACCATCATATCTTTGAGACATGGTCATCGAATATATACCATCTTGGCCTTTAAGATCGGCGACGAAAAGACTTTTAAGACCTGTCCAAAGCAAAAGTCAGAGACTCTGAGGGAGAGCTTTTTTACACCAGGCCCCTCCGTGGAACGCTTTGCCAGCTCATCTACGGGAGTCCACCACTTTATCAAAATTTAAATCAGCACTTAAATAAGTTAAAATGCATTTGTTTTAGTCCAGCTTCAATCTATAATTTCCGACATTCCAATACAAATATTATTATGTTCTCTCAGTACCTTTATTATGTTCTCACAGTTATATTCATGCTGTTCTATTCTGGAAGAATTTATGACAGTGTGAATTCATCAATATGTGCGAGGGTGCCTGAGTAAGTTTTGTGGGATTGTCTTTACTCAAGGATGTACTGGAGAGAGAGAGAGAGAGAGAGAGAGAGAGAGAGAGAGAGAGAGAGAGAGAGAATGAGAGAGAGAGACAGAGACAGAGTGAGACTAGTGAGAGGGAGAGAAAGAGGATTACTATAGGAGCTGTGCGCTACATATGTTCTTTGTATTATTGTACACCGCATTGAGCACTTCTTTGTGGAAATGCACTATGTAAATGCAATTTATTTATTTATTTATTATTATTATTATTATTATTATTATTATTATTATTATTATTATTATTATTATTATTATTAATATAAACAATAATAATAAACAGCTTTAGTATAGCGCAAATTCCCGCTCAACAGCAACAATCTAATGAATCAATAACAAAAAGTCTGCACCATATTCATAGCAGATAATGTGTAAAGAACAATAAATAACATCTCGGGAACAGAACAAGGAGAATCTAGCTTTTCATCAAAATAAACAAAGCTACATGGTGTTATTTCACAAATGTTTAAACATTCTGTCAAAGTCTCAAAGGGACTAAAACTCCTACAGACAGCCGTCTGCAATCTTTGATCTTGGTTTAACGAAGGGGATGGTAAAATACATTCCAATTTCTTTCAAGATTTTTAATAGTAGGCTACAGAAATAATCAAATAAGCTCACAAATGTAGGAGAGGAGAGTTAAGAGCTTACTCCCCTATAGTTTGTTTCCGTTATTATTTGGTTCATGAGGATCAGTAGCTCAATAGGTGTTTCCCTGTCAACACGAAGGTCCAGAGTTCAATCCTTGCCAACATCGAATTTTGCTCATGTTTTCTACAACCCCTGATGCAAGAGTAAGTAAGATCGAGCAGCTTATCTTAGATCAGAAAGAAAAAGTTCAGAGGTTCTGTGTGAATGTTTCGCACATTAAAGATCCCTTGGCAGTTGTTGAACGGAAAAGTGCAGTCCCTTCAGGCCAGTGTCTGGGCAAAATTTAAAATTAATTCCTACCAAAAACTGGTGCCACTCTTGTCACAATAAACACCAATATCATCTTCAAAAACGGCACCTGAGTTCATCTGGCAAGGGATGATTCTATTTTTTATTTATACATGTATAATATAGACAAAACGACAATGAGAGTAAAAATCAACTGCACTGTGAGACGAAGCAGCTCTAGCAGCTAATTATACAGAAGAAGAATTTGACCCATGCTCTGGTCAACTTTGTAAAGTGCCTCTGCATTATATGCAGGGAGAAGCATGAAACAAACTTTTGCTTTTTGTTCGAGTAAAGAAAAGCACATCAACACAATAGCAGTCATTTAGTGTTGGCGAGAAAAAGTGAGGACAGACAGACAGATACAACAGTGGCAAAAACAAAAGTAGAATGTACCATTGCCATTCTTACTTCTTCACTAATTTTTAGTTTTTGTGTATTGATTACTGGGGACTTTTCCCCCATTTGTTTTTCACAAACAATTTGAATTCGTGATTTAAGCTGTCCGGTGTCATATGTTCCAATGCAGTAGCACCCCATTTGAAATTTCAGGAGAAATCACTTTCACACATTTCTTTAAACATCGCAAAAAAATAATGAATTCATTTCTTACGCAAATAAAGTTAGAATACAGTAATCTGACCTGAGTTATCTTACCGGAAGGAATCATGCTTTTCACCTTGAGCATGAGATGGAGACTGAGGCAGAGACAAAGTCTGAGACGGTGAGCGAGTCAGAGAGTGGGAGGGCGGGGGCGAGGACGAGGACGAGGACTTGGGGCTTCTCACTAAAGAATGCTCACTTGACACCTGCCTCTGAGAAATACAGGCAAAAGTTCAGCTCAAGCAGAAAGGCACAAGGTATATATATAATGTCGGCATGCTGTTTATATATATAAATTTTGTTTTCTGGGCTCAGGATATATATGTATACATATATATCCTAAGCCCAGAAAACAAAATTTTTCAGAAGAGAGAAAAAACTATTTAATCTTTTCAACTATATATAAATTATGTACTTGTTTTAGCTTTTTTTCAACATAAAGATTTTGAATTTCAATAAAACATTTCTTGAGCCCATGTAACCAATACCACAAAAGTTTAGGTTAAGTACATGTGAACAACTCGTTGAGGATAACCTGCCACACAGCCCATGATGGCATCATGCCGTTTCCTGGTAATGTGAGACATCAGAAGCTTTACACTGACCCAAGATATTGCGCCCTAGGTTGACGGGGTCTTTACTTTACTTTAATAACACACAGTACGATAGGAGAGGGAGTGGACTCGACTTTTGCAAGGTCTTGACCGAGTTTTTAAAGTTTTAGTAAGCGTTTTACGGCACTTCCAACACAATACCACCATATAAAGCAAATAGCTTTTCTCATTTCCATGGGGTTTTTTTAACCTCTGTCTGCGAGTGGTTAGTGGATGATCTAGTGTGGTTTGCTTCTTCTTTTCTATCAAAACATCTACCATCCTTATCTTTCCTCCTTCTTTTTCGTGTTTGTTATTCTCTCTATAATCTTCAGGACGTATATGACCTTATTGTATTGTAAGTGAAGTAAAACTTTTACAATAACTAAAATGAAAAAATAAACAATGCAAATGAGACAACAAAACAAAATGAAAAGCAAAAGGAAAAAGTGAATCAATTACCTCATTATAAACATTCCAAAGACCCACTGGATTTTCAAAAGCTTCCCTCTCTCTTTCATCCTGGAAAAATCAACAAAAAAAGGAGTTATCATGTTATAAATTGGTTCTTCCTCTTTTCCCAAATGCACCAATAACACATGATAATCTATTTTTGTTTTCATAAAGAGTTTAACAGCACTTGGAACACAATAGGTCATACAAGTGCCGAAGACTAGAGGTGATACAAGAGAGTAACAAACACAAAAAAGAAGGACGGGAGATAAGGATGATAGATGTTGGATAGGAGAGAAAGAGCAAACCACACCAAAGCCCCCGCCAACCACCCACTTCATCTTTTTTTAACAATTACCTCAACATTACAATATTTTCCTATAGCCCACTCAAACATGTTGAGACAAATTTGTTTAGGAAAGGATCCTAATTTCTGATTGTTAGTCAGAGTCACAGAATAGTGTAACGACTAGCATCCTTGAAACGTTGAAGATGTTAGGTACAAAACAAAAAGTAAAAAGCCTAAAATAAGTACAGAAAATAAAATTTCTCAGCATTTAACATATGGAACGTAATACTCTTAAGAGACAGAATAGAAACATTAAAATTACTTTCAAATTACATCAAATATCTGGTGGAAAGAAACAGAATTATAGGAGGCAGGGGGGGGGGGTTGTCGAGATCTTGTAGAAGGACGTTTTTCCAGAGATGGCAGCTCAATAACAAGCACCACAGTCATCAACAACGTTAAACAGTAAGGCAATGGTCACTAAATCATAACGGCACAGGAAAGAATAAGTGGCACAAGAAAAGGGGGCCTTACCTCAATAAGGGCATTATTATTTTTCCTCAGTTTAAATAGTTTGTACGTAATTAATTTGTGACCCTACGGAACATTTTGAGGGTATGGAAATAAAACGGCTTTGACGGACGGTGTAGTAAACATTGCAGTGGCAGTTAAACATCGGTGGAAAGGCAATAGAAATTTGATGTTCCTTGATGTGACAAAAGCAATAAAACGGGAATAATGCAACAGCCTTTCAAGCCTTTCAAATTGCCGACATATCAGCGATATGTTTAAACGTGCTCCCCGGGAGTTACCGATATATCAGCAACACGTCTGAGAAGAGGTAAACCAATCTACAGTATCACACGCATAGGTTGAACACAGAAGACTCGAAATCCCACATCCGTGGAACTGTGCTTATTGAGGTCCAGGGGCTTTTTCTTCTTTATCTTTGTAAGATATTCTTCAAACTACAGATCCCTCGCACTACCGAGGCTGGTCCCGATGAAATCGAGCTATCCGTGTTATACTGTATGTTCAAAGAGAGCAGAGCGTAAAAGCAAAATGAACAATACCTGTATGCTGATGAGCCAAGAGGCCGGGATCCACAACAAGGCGGTGAGGACCACCACAGTCATCACAATGTTGCTCTTCATGAACAGGACTGTAACACAACGAGGGAAACAGCAGAAGCATATTATCGCTACCATGGAATTTTTACAAAGTTCTATCTGACATTTTTGGCCATTTTGAGCTACTAAGACCATGAGATTGGAAACCAAATGTTCAATCTACTCTATCAAAATCATAAGACTATTCGGAGTCGTTATAATCAAGATGTTCAAAGACTTGCATTCGAAAAATCTTGACATGTGAAACTCAAAATTTTTTAACGCTAAATTTCTTAAAACTAGACATTGAGCAGATATATCTTGGTAATTCTAGGGTAGCGATATATATATAATAACAGACACCATTATTGTATCTCATAGACAAGATTAAACAAAATATGTTTCATAACAGTAATAATAGATGTAAAGTGCTAGAGCATGCAGTAGAGCATGGATATATATAATGCATAAAATACATGGAATTACACTCAACCCTACACTAAAGGCCACCTGTCCAAGACAATGTTGAGTTTCTTAATATATTATGCAATGTCCAAGGCTTCAATCTGTCTAAGAAAAGTGTGTTTCTCCTCTACAATAGGTGGTCAATTTTGACAATTCCAACTGTATTATCATAACCATTATTTCAGTATTACCTATTTATGTCATCATTTGGCCTCTTCCCTTGCATTTGGTAAACATTATCGTGAAAAAGAAATCTGAGACTGTGTTGAAAGTCAAAGTTCCAGCTGTAGTAAAATGAGCTTTTTTGTATGTTTAACACTTAATTTCTGCACCCTAAATCTTTTTTTTACGTTGGGTGTAATGGTGATATCTTTTACTTTCTTTATCACTGATCAGTGATAAAGAAAGTTACACACATACAAAAAAGGCCATTTTACGAAAGCTGGAACTCTAACTTTCAACAGACTTGGACTTCTGTTCCACGACAAAATTTACCAGATGCAAGGGCAAAAGGCCAAATTTGACTCTTTACTAACAAATTCTCTTTTATAACAAAGCTCAGTCTCTCTATCAGAGAAACAGACACATACAACTATAAGATTCTTCTGTAAAGAGACGTGTACATTACAGTAAATTCTGCAGTACCCCCAATCTACAAAATGTCAAGCACACTCACTGAACTTTGACGTTTGCATGCTGATCACAAACTGGTAGAGTCGTACCAACGTGTTCTTCACCACAACTTCACACTTGCCCTCCTAATAAAAAAAAACCAGCAGTTTCACAGACAAAGCACAAAGCAAATATAAAAAAACTAGGGTCATCTAGTGGTAAGGATAAGTTAAAGGAAACAAGGATACTGCAAAGAATCAAGCAAAAAATGTTATCTCAGTAACCCCGTCTAAAGACAGGCACTCGGGAATATATATGCACGAAAGGTGGTGCACTCCTCCCCCCCAAAAAAACCACACACACACGCACACACACAAACACACACACACACAAACACACACACACACACGCACATACACAAACACCCACACATACACACCCATTCACATACACACACGCACACATACACAAACACACACACACGCACACACACACACACACACACACACACACACACACACACACACACAAAGTTAAGGCTGGCTGCATGGAGTAACAAATGAATGTGCCCCAAGGGCACTTAAGGGGAAAAAACTTGCCTTTAAAAGAAAGTG